CAACCAGCTCTCTTGAGCCCCTCTACCCTCTAAAGCCCTAACCCATGTGATTTCTCCAAGCAGTTTCTTGAAGGGATCAAAGTTAGCCCTCCTGTAGTTCAAGTTGCAATCCTACTTGTGATTTTATGCATACTATATTGAATCCTGAACTCTATCTTCTCATGATCACTACAGCCAAGGCCGCCCCCAGCCTTAATGTACTCCACCAGTCCCTCTTTGTTAGTACTGAGTCCAGTAGTACATCTCTGCTTGTTGGCTCCTCCACCACCTGAGTCCAAAAGTTATCAATGCACTGAAGGAACCTCCTGGACTGCACATGCCCAGCTGTGTGCCCTTCCCAGCAGATAGCAGGGTGATTGAAGTCCTCCATGAGAACCAAGGCCTGTGATTGTGAGGCGACTCCCAGCTGTCTATAGAAGGCCTCATCAACTTCCTCATCCTGATCAGATAGCTTGTAATAGACACCCACGACAATGTCTCTTACATTACCCTGCCCCTTGATTCTTACCTGCAAGCTTTCAACTTGCTCTTCATCCTTCCCCAGGGAGAGCTTGATACATTCCAGTTGCTCTCTCGCATAAAGAGCAACTCCACCACCTCACCTTGCTGGCCTATCCTTCCTAAAGAGAATTTCGCTGACAATTTCGCTGACAATTCACCTTTCAACTTTATAATTTCCTCTTCTAACCTTTTAACTTGTCCATTCTCAATTTTCCACACTGTGATTAATAGCCAGCACATTCCTTTCTTCTGTCTGTCCTTCTTCACACATATCCTTCCATTTATTAAACTCTTTCCATATGGCTTTTGGATCATGGCTTATTGCCTCTAGCCACTTCTTGTCCTGCATTGGATCTTGCCATCTATTTTCTTTAAACTCCTTTCTCCAGGAGTCACATTTATTGGGGTAATCAGTCATCACTCTGACCCAAGGATTCTGCTGACTACGCCAAATTCTTCTGTCACCTGACACTATGGGGACAGGCAGGTTCTTTAGGGGATCCTCAGCAGAATGATGATGGCACTAAGTTGTAGTTACAATTAAAGCTTTATTATTTTAACAAAATTTGATGGTCAACATAGCATAGAATTTTATGATCACAGTAGCACAGGATTTTTATAATCAGAACCAGTGTAGCACAATTTTATAAGTAGCGTAGCACAGAATTTTATAGCGCAGCTTAGTTTATGGTTCCTAATCACCTGGACCCTCTGCAGATTGGGTCAAATCTTAATACTTGGCTTGCAGTATCAATATCACAGTCATCATCTAGACTTGAAACATGTAAAAGAATATGAGTCGCTCAGTCCTTGGAGGAAGCAGATGATGGTGGAGGTGTCCCTGGCCACTGGGGGATCACGGGTTTTGCAGTCCAGCAGCAGTTGCAGTCAAAGTCCCACTTGGGGCTTGTAACTGCTTGATTTTATGGACAGTGCTCTGTGTACTGTTAGGCTTCCCTGTTCTGTGATGGGGTCATCACCCCCCGGGTTAGCCAGGTGCCTGAGACCTTCAAGGCCAGTAAGGAGGGGCCTGGCACCCAGGGACCATGAGGCCAATAGGGAGGGGGAGAAGTCCTCCTGGTGCGCAGGACCTGCAGGAGGAGGGGAGAGGGAACTGATACGTGACCAGCTTGGTCACAGAGAATGGCCCTTTGCCTTATAAAATGGCATTAGTTCTGCTACCCATATTGCCAGGAGCTGGGGTACCAGTCACACGGCTAACCCATCTCAAAAGGATGCTTTTCATGCTGGGTACTGAGAGGCTTCTGAAAGAGACGGGCCACGGCTTGCACAACTCTGTACCAGTTACATTGAACCTGTCTCATACAAAACTGAGCTTTGTGTTCTGCAAAGCTCCATTCTTATTTCTGCTACTCAGATTTAATAGACCTTTATTACATTTCTGGATGAGGTATGAAGGTCCTGCCTTTAGGTTGGAAAAGGGTTTTGAGTGTTGCTTTATGTTTCTTTCAGCCTTTGGTTCTTGAAGTATTTCACAGATTCCTTATTGTTTTTACTACTGTGGCCAGTCAAACCTAGTGTTCAAGTCTTTTCCACATATCAGGATTATGTACAGTTTAGAAACACCTTGATTCTTTCATCTAGGATTTCACTTTAGATCTGTACTTATGCATCCTCTTAAAAGAACTGTATTTAAATTACTTTTCACCCACTGTTATGTTAGAGCACACCAAGTTTAGGCCTGTTGTATTGATTTTATAATACTGAAAAAATTCTATTTGGTAGTCTTATTGTTAGGTTTTATCTTAGTAAAGTACATTTAATTATTGTTTTTAAAACAACTACAGCTATTCCGTTACTGTGTCCTCTTATGTATGTCTTTTTTATACTTTGTCATGCTTAGAAATTAGATATGACCTCTGCCTAAGCAGAGTTAATACAAAGACCTGCTTGTAGCATTCTTCACAGATAGTACCACTTTAATAAATATGTGCCGGAGGGAAAGTGATTAATTTCAAATATTGTGCAACATAATTAAAAAAATCCACCCTCAATATATATAAAAGTCGCTTCCTAATTCCAAAGCTCTAAAAAGTATAGCACAAATTACGATATGCTAATTTCTCTTACTCTTCATTTTCTCATTTGGATATTAATTGTTTAATCATCTAGAACAGTGATAATTCTAGCAGTGATAAATTAAGCCTGTTAACCTTCAGCACATCTCTATTTAAATTGCTTCCTAGACTCCTTTTAGCTGCCTTCTGCCCAGCGTGTTCCACTTTGATGACAGATTTTTTGCATATGAAGTTTCTTGAATGCCTCTGAGGCACATTAGTTCCCTCATCACTATATAGAGAAGATCGACAGGTTTTTCCTGGAGATGCACAGCACAAGGACAGGGGACAACGGGCACAAGCTGCAACATGTGAAATTCCAATTAAATAATAGGAAGAAAAATCCCAGTGAGGCCTCGTTGTTCAGATTAGCTTTCAGCAAATGAGTACTTCTTTGGGTGTCAGACCTGACCAGCACAAAACAGGAGGGCCATGCTGCAAAATAGGGTTAGTTATTGTGTCCCTGACTGACCAGTATTTTCTTGGATATAGAATCATAGAATAATAGAATGATTTAGGTTGGAAAGGCCCTTGAAGATCATCAAGTTCCACCCTCCCTGCCATAGACAGGGACACCTCCGACTAGACCAGGTTGGCCAAGGCCACGTCCAGCCTGGCCTTGAACACCTCCAGGGATGGGGCCTCAACAACCTCTCTGGGCAACCTGTTCCAGTGCCTAAAAACCCTCAAAGTAAAAAACTTCTTCCTAATGTTTAATCTAAACCTGCCCTCTTCCAGTTTATAGCCATTCCCCCTCGTCCTGTCACTACATGCCCTAGTAAAAAGTCCTTCCCCAGCTCTCCTGTAGGCCCCCTTTAGGTACTGGAAGGCCGCACTAAGATCTCCCCGGAGCCTTCTCTTCTCCAGGCTGAACAGCCCCAGCTCTCTCAGCCTCTCCTCATAGGAGAGGTGCTCCAGCCCTCGGATCATCCTCGTGGCTCTCCTCTGGACACGTTCCAGCAGGTCCATGTCCTTCTTATGTTGAGGACTCCAGAGCTGGATGCAGTACTCAGGTGGGGTCTCACGAGAGTGGAGTAGAGGGGCAGAATCACCTCCCTTGACCTGCTGGCCACAGTTCTTTTGATGCAGCGCAGGATACGGTTGGCCTTCTGGGCTGCGATTGCACATTGCTGGTTCATGCTGAGCTTCTGGTCAATCAGCACACCCAGGTCCTTCTCCTCAGGGCTGCTCTCCAGCCATTCCCCACCGAGCCTGTATTTGTGCTTGGGATTGCCCCGATCCAGATGTTGGACCTTGCACAGAAATTCCAGCAGGCATATCCCATTGTTAGGGATGCAACAGCAGAATGAGCTGTTTTGTGAATTAAGTTCCAGTGAACTGTGGGAGACTCTGTCATTGCCCTAAGAACTGGAGGACCAACTGTAGGAAAGTGCTGGGGCACTGATAGCAGTTGAGTGTTATCGTGTCTCTGTAATAGGGTGGCCGTTGTGTTAACTGTTTTACAAGTTGTGGTCACTTACATTTCAGCAAGATTCAGGTCCTGCTTCCCTTGCCTCTTTGTAATATACCTGGATGTTAAAGGTTTTCTTGTGTGTGGAGAGCACTCAAGTTTTGAGGAAAATGCACAGGTTGAAATTCAGACTCAGTTTTGTGAACAGAGCTGAGGGAAGGGTAGTTCCATATTTTTCTAGGCAAGGCATACATAAAACCTTTAAAAAGAAGACTTCTTTCTTGTTTAATAATGTCTTGCTTGGACTCAGCAAGGGCTGTCTTAACTGATGAATATACCAGTCATGCCTGCTTTGTGTCTTCTGTTGAATGTCAAGAAGAAATAAAACTGAAGAAGGGACTGCCCCCATCTCTCCCTCATAGGTTATTCTTGAAATTTCTTAAACAAATGTTTCAGTCTAGTAGATACTGAAAGAACATTTAGTATGTAAAAGGAGGAAGAACAGGATAAAATACTAGCTGACCATGACTGGAATGTTGGTTTGTGAAGCAGGCATTTCTGGTACGGTGAATTGTTCTGTTTTAACCGCCTTTGCATTCCAATTTGAGACATTATACTGCTGCCAAAAGCCAGCACTACTTATTTAAACTCACCTTTTTCTCCTTGGAGCAGTCATTGTCTAGTAAATCCAGGGCAGACACCTTTTCATGTCCATCTATATATAACAGTCTAGCTGTGGGACACTGGCAAAAGATGTTCCCTCCACCTTTCGGAACTTACTGTCCATCATATATGTGCCTGCAGCTGGAGGGGATTGGACTTGATGCTCTCAGTGATTTATATTCTACAGTAAAATGGGGCTTTGTTCTTGATGGAATAGAACAAGTTACAATTGGTAATTTTAGGGTTGATGTTTAAGTTTTTTACTGAAAAACTATTAGATGTATATGACTGGAATCAATGTGTTTCTTCTGTGAATAATTTTTTGTTTATTTTTCATGTTTTTCTAGACAGAAAGAATTTACTTTCAAGTATTTCTACCAAAGGGGACCAAAGAGAAAAGCAAGCCCATGTTCTTTTGTAGTAAGTGGAGTATTGGCAAAGTAGTAGATTTTGCAGCTTCCTTAGCAAGCCTTAAAAATGACAACAACAAATCAACATCCCAGGTAAATCAGTAATAATAACAAACATCTTCCAGGTTGTTGGGTTTTGATTTTTGTTTTTTTGTTGTTTGGGGTTTTTTTTTAACTCTTTTGTCCCTCCCTCACCCCACTTCTTGCATCTCAGATAGGCAAATCTTGATGTTAATTTCTATGCTATTTGTCTTACAGAAATTGAGATTATGCCATACTGCCTCTGGAGAAGCCTTGCCATTTGATCACACATTGGAAACGTGGCTATCTGATAAAGACTGTCCATTGTACAATGGTGGAAATATAATTTTGGAGTATCTTGATAATGATGTTCTATTTATAGAAGATACAGACTCATACTTTAGTTAACCAGTAAATTATGACAAAAAAATCAAAGATTTTTTCAGAAGTATGGTATATTCAAACCAAGTCCAGTTTTCTTTCAAAATGCCAGAATCTGTCCTCAGTTGTAAAGACACAGTTCCCATCAATTTCTCAATTGCTTGACTGACAGAACTATGTCCTGAAAGGAAAATTAGTTACTATAATAACTAATATTACAGATATTCACTTTCTAGAATAAATTCTTATCTTATTTAGCTGTATAACATCAATAATGTTTTCTTAAATTTTATATTTATTTTTGTGTACATGATGGGAAAAGTATATATTAAAATCAATAAATAATGAAAATGTAAACTTGCAGCATATCAGTTCTTTGAAGGAAAGAAACACATTACACCATTGCAGTATCTTTTCTACGTCTACAAGAACAGATTTCATTGAGTTTGGAATCCAGCGCTGTTCATGCCTGATGTCCATGTTTTCTTCGCTCCTCATAATAGCATAACGACGTTCAGAAGGAAAGCTTTCTGAAGCAAAAGTAAATTCACACAGATGTCTGTCTTGTGTTTGTAAATCCCAGCATCATTGTGTAATTAGGTGAGGGATAAAAAGAGAACTTGAAGTCGTCCTTTTCTAATTCTTGTGGAATATGGAAGAAATATGGTAAGAGAGGAAGAAATACAGTTCAACTAGAAATGTAGCATTCAACAGCTTGCAGTTTCATCCTGGTATTTCCGACCTTAGTTAAATCTCTATTGTTTCCTTTTCAGCAGTCTGCAAGATGGACTTACTAAGTTTTAAAGTGTTTGTTTACAGTGATTGTACATAAAGAAGTTACACCTCTGAGTACATAACTATGACCTATAGAATTAATGGCTTTCTCAGTTGTCAGTGTCTTGAAATTGTTTGGTGCTCATTAAGAAGATTGTTCAGAGTATCAGTAGTTGATGTACTCTAGTTTTTGGATCTCTTGTGGATTTCAAAGCTGGATTGTAAATTAAAAGCGAACATAGCAAGAAAGAACCACAAAATTATTATAGCTGTTTTGAATTACTGAAACATAAAAACATGTTATGTTGCACACGAATATTAGGGCCAGCTCTTTCCTAACGCTAAGTTCTGATGTATAACCAAGGAGCCTTGCTTCATCTTTCTTGAGAGGGCTTGTTACAACCCAAACTCATTCTGTAGTGGACTTGAGCCTGTCTCTAGTTAAGCTAGAGTAGAACCCTTTCAAGACTAATCCCTCCAATTTGCTTTCATCTCTTTACGGTTATTCAGCCAATATTCTCCAATTGGGAGGAGCTGGAAAGGCAATCCTACGGTGAAAGAAAGGATGATGTATGAACAGGTGTAAACAAAGCAGTGGAAAGCACAAGCCTGGGCTTTGTTTGCAAAGCTGTAGTGTGTTTCTGCCGCTCCGTGGTGTTGTGCAGCACGAATGAACTGAGGCAAACCAATTCATCCAATACTAAATAGGCTAGCACGATTGTCAGCTGCAGCATAGAAGGTGTGATCCATTGCTACTGAAATGACCTAGCAGCTTGTGATTAGGGCGCGGTACTGAGACAGAGGGGGAGCCTACAGGAAAGATGGGGACAAACTTCTTAGCAGGGCCCGTTGCGATAGGACAAGCTGTAATAGCTTTAAACTAAAAGAGGGAAGATTTAGATGAGATACAAGGAAGAAATTTTTTACACTGAGGGTGGTGAAACACTGGCACGGGTTGCCCAGAGAGGTAGATGCCCCATCCCTGGAAACATTCAAGGTCAAGTTGGATGGGGCTCTGAGCAACCTGATCTAGCAGAAGATGTCCCTGCTCATTGCAGGGGCATTGGACTAGATGACCTTTAAAGGTCCCTTCCAACCCAAACTGTTTTATGGTTCTGAATCTCTGTCTCCCACAGCCTGACTCACTGCTGGATCGGTGTGACTCACCTTTCAACAAACTTGAGAAGAGCTATCTTTCTTTTTTGAAACATAGGGCACTTTTCTTTCAGGCAACTATCTGCATGTGCTGTTATGTTTGCAAGCATGTTCCAGCTTGTACGTGCAACGTGACTGAAGGTACTCAGTAATGCTCGGAAGTGTAACTGGGCCACAGGGAGACTGAATAGCTACATTGTTCAACAACATCAATACGATACGTTTCAGGAACATTGTCATTCCATCCATATAGAAGTGGGGAGAAACTCTATGGGGAGGGCAGGGGACATAGGGCTAAGGAATATTGCTAGTCCTGTGAGAAATGGAGTTTTGTTTTGGAGAGCTGACATGAGGCGGAGAGGTGTACTCAGACCTGCAAGTGGAGGTGGACACCACACCACGGTCACCTGGGCATTCACAGATTTGGATTTGGTGTTTTGGCTCATTCAGTTACCGCGTTCACTAAGAAAAACTGTCCAGGTTTCTCTCTAGTACATGCTTGCCTAAAGGGAAGCATTCTCGCCTGGCTGTAGTGCCGGATTCTGGTTCATTTGAACCTGTTTGAAAACAAACAGCCAGCCATGCATGACATACCTTTTCTAGGCACAGCTGCAATAAAAAAAACCCAAACAACCACGACATAAGAGGAGTCTGCCTAGCATCAAAGGTACTCTCCCTTGGCAGAACAGTAACGTAGTCTTGTTCAAGTGGCTGTAAAGTATCATGGGTTTCAGTACTACCAAGTAGCGTACCTTTATAACTTAGGAGTATCTGTAGGATTATTACATATTGATTGGATTTGCATAAAAACCAAAACCATCTCAGTGAGTGAGTCACTCAATTGTTCTTATTTTGCTTTACAGTACTCCTTACTGTAGTTTTGACATGACTTAGGTATTGATAAATTATTTTACTGCATGTGGTGTGGATGTAACAAAAAGGAGGGTGCTTCGGGTTTCCATGAAGGAAAGGGTCTTCAGTGGCTGAATATTTTGGAAATCTTTGTTTCCTGGCAGCAGTAAGCATACATGCCTTTCTCCACCTTCCCCTCCTATGCTCTCCAGCTATTTGTCATCTCCCTTTCCAGCACAAGAGGAACAGTTCCCTTTTCCCTTACTATTTCTTTTCCTCCCTTTCCTCTGCAATTCTCTATTCTCATTTCTTTGCATCTTAGGCTGCTGTGGTAAGGAATATGCAGTAAGAGGCCGACCATCATTGTGGGACAAGTGAGTGGGGGAAGAGCTCCAAACTGAACTCGCTCTCTCTGCTGCTCTTACCAAAGCAAGCAGAAAATGCTGCTACAGAACATGGTCTTTTTTTTTTTAGCAGAAAATCCTCATTCTCTACTTATCCACTTCCTTCTGCCACTGATTTTTCTGCCCTAGGAGTTGCATGCAAAAGAATTAAAATAGCATTTGTTGTGGGTAGAGGGAAGATAGACTTGGGATGTAGGAAGTAAATCTTTGGGGAGATCTCACAGGTTTTACCAGGAAGGTTACTTTCATCAATCGCCAGTTATTGCTAAGGACTAGCAGCCTGTAAGTGACAGTACAAATACAGCAAGTCATAGTTGATAAGACTCCAAAGAGTTTTCACATTCACTTTCATCTTATTCCAGGAATGTGTCCGCGATTGTATGTAGAAGCTTATTCTGCTCAGTTTTCAGAAACTGAGAAGCAAAACCAAATTAAGCTAGTTTGACAGATAAATAATTGGAGAGAGGTGAAAACTCTGCCCTAATCATCGACTCTAGGAACAAAAGCAGAAACTTTCCCAGAGCTTCAGTATCTTGCCGACGCTTGAATTACTTACATTTTAGCTTTTTAAGACTTTAGCATATCTTTACTTAGCATATACATTTTTTTTGTTTGTATTTTAAAGCTTATTATCTTAGCACATTTTCACAGGCAAAGTTAAACAACTGGATTTGGAAAAAACCCACACTTTGGAGGAGACATTTGAGATGTGAAACCATTGTTAATTTTATAGGCTTGTGTTTAGAAGTTACTGAACTGTTTCACTTCAAAGTTAAACTCACTTCTAGCAGATGCAAAGAAAATGTATGCAAAGTGACTTAGAAGAAGAATATGTCAATGAATGATTTTACAATAAACAGTACTTCAACTGAACGATTAAAATAGGTGAATATCAAGCTTTTTGGTTGTTATATCTGCATAGTAATTTTAGAGAATGCACAAGGTCAAGGGTCTGCAAACATTTTACTGCTGAGAATGCTCTCCGTAGCAGCTCCTGGCCTTGTTCCAGTTCAAACACTGCTACAAAATTCCCTGGCATATATTTGCGATACACGTAACACAGTTTGGAAAGGGTTGTATTAACATCAAGAGCTCAATTTTGCTTGGATATGTGACCTGTTAGATCAGCTGGGCAGTGCTGTAGCAAACAAGAAACAATACATCACACTAAGAAAGCAGGCAGTAATCTCATGCTTTTATTTTCATCAGTTTCCTTTTGTGTGTGTGTTTTAGAAAGACAGAAAAGCATGTGCCCTGTAGTGTGATCAGTCTGGTTTGAAGACTCTTATCAACACATCACCTCTGTTCATCTTGCTTATCAAACACACCTCCCTGCAGCCCAGCTCACCTGCTAGTAGTCTCTTACATGAAATACAATATTTCCTTTCAGCTGGAATGGAAATTATAGTTTGGATTAGGGAAAGTATTACATTTACAAGGACAGAATTTCAGGCATTTCTGTTTGTTTTACTTCTTCTGATTTTAGGATCAACGCAGAATTTCAAATCTCCTTATAGAGCCTGTAAGACACTTGCTGTAATGTTCAGTATGCTATTAACGATGTCAAAGAAGCCATTTTCCATAATACTGGTGTAGTCTGATGCAGCTTGTGCTGGTGCATGTTTGGCAGCTTGGCCTCAACACAAACTGAACCAGAGCCAAAGTGCCTCTTTCAATTGGCTGTATGTTGTATCCATACAGTATAACCTTGTAAAGAACGACTTGCAAAATAATAAAAACACATCTTACCAGCTCTGCGATTCTTTAATGACTGTGAAGACTTTAAAAAACAGACATATTTATATAACTATTCCTATTTACGAAATGGGAAGGAGGAAACATGAAAAGGCACAGTGATTCGGCCCACACGACAGCACTGCTGGGAATGGAAACCACATCTTCACCGATGGGGAGATGACAAAACTACCCCCGTTTGACCTTGAACAAGTGCCCAGCTGTGGGCAGCACTGGCACTGGGAAAATGGGATAAGGCTGCTTCTTCTGGCAACGCAGACATTTTATGATCATTTTAAGTCATAAAGCAAACTGCAACCCTCGTCCTGTTTACTGTCAATTTCCATTTTTCGTGACAGTGAATTATATCAATTTGTGAGCACATGAGAACACCTCAGTGTTTTACCTTTACTTGATGAAAGACAATAGGGTCAAAAGATCCCAGAAAAAAAAAAAAAGAAAATGGTACTCAGTCTTGGAAAGCTTTTTTTTTTTTTTTCCCTCTGTGCAACTTTAATTATAGTAATCTTGAAAACGCATTTGAACTGCAAACAAATTGCAAAAATCTTTGTTTGAAACCTAGGGAGTCTTCTGAAAAATGTGCTCACTGCGTTATTTTAGAAGTATCAGTTGTCTCTGGTGACCGATTTGGTATTATTCTAATTAGTAGAACTGCCAGCAGGAGAGGCTAGTGAGGGGGCAAAGGCAGCGCTTTCAGGGGTATTGCGTTTTTGAGGAAAAAAATCAAGATGTAACGGAGAAGAACCACATCTGTAAGAAACTTGGCCTGTTTATTCTTTTTAAACACTGTAACCTGAGTTGATTAAATGCTGTTTACTTCCAGGTGACCGTCGCACATACATTCACGCGCTTTTTCACGGGCCTTCATACTTTTTTTTTCCACACGACGCGGTCTCGTTGGAAACAGCGGCGCCTTCAGCAGCTCAAAGCGCGGGGTAAACACCCACCGCGTGCTCCGCGAGAGAGCATTTACGGCACCGTCACCCTGCCACGTCCAACTATTTAAAAAAAAAAACAAACCAACGATATTAACGAGGAGGCGGGGTTAACGGCTTCGCCCCTGGCGCCTGCGCACTGGCGCGGCGGCGCGTCCCAGCGGGAGCGGCAGCAGTGGTGGGAGGTGACACGGCGGAGCGCGGCAGCGGTGAGTTTCTTCCTCCTTCCTCAGCCGCCATTTCGGGGTGCCGTGAGGGGAATGCGCTGCTGCCGCGGGGCCGGAGGTGCTGTCACCTCGGCCAGGCGATGTGGGCCACCCTGCAGCCCTTCCAGCCCGAGGTCCAAACCTCTACTCTGAATGCATGCCCTGAATTTGTGGAACAAGCTCGTCAAGGCGGGGACAAAACTCAGCTGTGGTGGGGAAAAAGACGCTGGTATTTAACCAGAATGCGTGTTTTGGAGTTACTGTTTTAGTGAGGATTTTAGATGTAAATGATACTTTTTTTTTTTTCTCTGCTACGTGAGGCTGTGCCGTTGTAGTGGATGTTAGTGTGCTTAGGGTTCCATTAGTGCTACCAGTCGTTTATGGATAACAGAGTAACTTTAATCTGTAGGCACAGATGTCTGTATCTGTTCAGTGTTCTATCTGTATACAGTTCTGTGTCCTGAGAAGTACCTAAAGGGGGCCTACAGGAGAGCTGGGGAAGGACTTTTTACTAGGGCATGTAGTGCTAGGATGAGGGGGAATGGCTTTAAAGCAGGCTTAAATTAAATATTAGGAAGTAATTTTTCACTTTGAGGGAGGTGAGGCACTGGAACAGGTTGCCCAGAGAAGCTGTGGGTGCCCCATCCCTGGAGGGGTTCAAGGCCAGGCTGGACGTGGCCTTGGGCAACCTGGTCTGGTGGGAGGTGTCCCTGTCTATGGCAGGGGGGTTGGAACTCGGTGATCTTCAAGGTCCCTTCCAACCTAAACCATTCTATGATTCTATGTCTGTGTTTATATAACTGAACCTATGCTTTAAAGGCTATGATAAGTGAAGAACATTATCAGCATAATTGAAGCATCGTACCCTTTGCATTTTACCTAACTTTTGTAGCCATCTCTACCTGTTCAGGACCAAGGCTGAAAGAGGCAAGGACCATTAGATCAGGATGACAGAACTGGGGACTTGTGGATGGTGTTGATTGCATAGGGCTCTTTTATAATGTCTCAGTGCTGTTTTTTAAATAATAATTTATCTAATCTTTGTGAATCTGCAAGTGTTACAAAACTGTTACTCATCACTTAAACTCATCACTTAAAGACTGGAGCACTTAAGTAGGAAATACCTCGGAGGCTTCTGAAAGGGCTAGGTCTCAAAAACGAAACAGACTTCCAAAATGCAGAATATCATTGCATCATTGAATGAATTTGTGGTCTGTTGAGGGTGTATCAGAAATAATGTATGATAAGCTGATTTGTATTCATATTTTTCTTGAAAGGAGAGATTCATAGAAGATAAGGCGGCTAGTATTGCTTCATAATACTTAATACAGAAAACACTTTTAAATGACTGGGATCTTATAACTTTGTTATGTAGAATCAAAGCCATTTCGTATTTGTGTTTGGAATAAACCCCTAGAACAAAGCACAGAGGACTAAAATACAGAAAGGATAGATTTGGCCTTTAAGATTCTAATCTTCTAATTTAAGATGTTCAAAGCCATTTAAACCATACTTAAAAATAGACTAAGCTGTATGTCAGCAGTCGTCTGCAGTAAATTACAGTGAAGATTCTAGTATTTTTAAGCAAAAAGGCCCTGAGCTGTACACTGTATTCAAGAATGTGCTTGTGTGTAACCACACTATTTGTTTTTTCAAAGCTTTTATGTACATTGAGGTCAGCGTCTAAATGTAGAATCTTGTATATGCATGTGTCCTTCAAGACTGAGGCTCTGTACTTGTTAATGTTTTTCTGTTATGCCTTTTTGATAGTCACAAAATGTGGGGAAAAGATCTGGTAACTTAGACTAAGCTTTTAATACTTTTTAAGTTATTTTTTTTTAAGAGTAAAGGACAGGACAAACTTCTGTATTCCAGCAAGGAGAAAACAGTGCAGTCCAGAACAGGGAGAGCGGAAAATTAGAATTTGTAAAAAAATAGCCATAATGATGTTTGTGTTAATCTATGCTTTTGATAGGCTATATATCTAAGAAAAGATGGCAGACCCTTGGCAAGAATGTATGGATTATGCAGTTGCTTTAGCAAGGAAAGCTGGGGAGGTAAGTATAAACTATTTATAAATAATAACATTATTTATTAAGTCTAGTATGTATGGAGCTTTGATGTTGAATATTCTTCTGAGGAGTAATTTGTCAAAAACATAAATTGGCAGAATCGTTCAGTGATGTTCAGGTTCAAGATTTTCATGTATACAGCTTGGTTAATTTAAGAAAACAACTTTGCACCTTTCTTTGGACCAGAGTCTGATTAAAGAATAAGGAGTATCTTTTGTTCCTTAATTTTGATTAAAAAAAAAAAAATTCTGAATTGTGGTCAACAAAGAGCATCTCTGTTTTCCCCCTTAGGCTGCACCTGTGTACCTTATTATTTTACCACCTGAAAGCTGTTGACAGTCTTTCTTGCAGACACCTCAGTCAACTTTATACAGTGGCTTGTTGTTGGTACAAGATATCATATTGTGTTCTCTTTATGAAGACTGCTTCTAGGAATAAGAAGTATCCCTTGCAGTGGTGGTACTTTGCCCATTTGTGATCTAAGAAGGCTTAGAACACGAAAGAGTTTGCACATCTTGGCAGAGCTTCAACATAAGAGTGGTTACTAAGTGTTCAGTTCTTGATAGTTCTGCTTGGTACATGTGAATGCTATTGCAGCCAGACAAGATGGCACAAGTACTGATTCTGTCTCTTGAAGCTGCAGAATCTGCAAAACATTGTCTCTGCAGCGACCTCATTAAAATTTTCCCTCAAAATCTTTCTAAGTAGTAGTAAAATAATTCTGTGGGCTGTGAGGCACAGATTCTTGCTTAAGCTGACTCTAATTGTTTTAAGATCATAAATGCAGGGTCTGGCTAAAAATAACTGACTTAAGCTCCGTCTTAAGTGTTTTGTTCAGTTCTGGTATTTAAATTTATAAATCTAAAACTTGTCCTAACAAAATAGAGCTCAGTTTTATGTACCAGCTCCTGCAGTTAAATCCAGGTTTTGTCGTTGCTTGTGTTTGCGTTTTGTATGTGCAGTATAGAAAATTACAGTAAAAATGAGGCTCAGATTTTTAGGAAAACTACTATTTTCCGTACTGTTAATGGAGAAAACGGTTTTTTTTCCCCCCCATTTGTTAACAGATAATCCGTGGAGCACTCAAAGAAGAAATATCCGTTATGACTAAAAGTTCACCAGTAGATCTAGTGACAGAAACTGATCAAAAAGTAGAAAACTTCATTATTTCTCTGGTAAAAGAGAAGTATCCTTCTCACAGGTACGGGTTCTTATCAGTACACTTTTGATAAAAGAAGGGGAGAGGTGACTGAAAGAGGAAAATGGATACTTTCTGATTTTGCTCTTGGTAAAATTTCATTACGGTTGGCATGCTGGAAAGTTACAGAATTCTCCCTTACCCTGAGTATATTAAGTATTTTAGAGTAGTGGTGGGTTAAAGTTTTGCCCAGGACTGTAGTAATAAAACAAAGTGTCCCCAGGGTCTACTGACGTGAGTTTAGCCTTGCTCAAGACTTATGCTGAAAGTCACTTCCAGTTGAGCCAGCTGTAAATAACTTCTTGGTTATTTGTGTTGGAGAATCACAGATGGCCCCAGGATACCAGGAGCCCCAAATTTCTTGTCTGCTGTTGGCTGTTGAAACTAGCACGCATTCACTGTCTCCGATGGATGGGTCCCATGGTACTGCGTGTGCCTTTGGCAAATCTCATATCGTTTAAGAACATCAAACATCCTTAAAAGAAGACAGAAATAAATTTATTATTGAAGGGTGAATTATATGTATTTTACTTACTTTTACTTACATAGAGTCATAGAATGGTTTAGGTTGGAAGGGACCTTGAAGATCATCACGTTCCAACCCCCTGCCATAGACAGGGACACCTCCGACTAGACCAGGTTGCCCAAGGCCATGTCCAGCCTAGCCTTGAACACCTCCAGGGATGGGGCCTCAACAACCTCTCTGGGCAACCTGTTCCAGTGCCTCACCACCCTCAAAGTGAAAAACTTCTTCCTAATGTTTAATCTAAACCTGCCCTCTTCCAGTTTATAGCCATTCCCCCTCGTCCTGTCACTACATGCCCTAGTAAAAAGCCCTTCCCCAGCTCTCCTGTAGGCCCCCTTTAGGTACTGGAAGGCCGCACTAAGATCTCCCTGGAGCCTTCTCTTCTCCAGGCTGAACAGCCCCAACTCTCTCAGCCTTTCCTCATACATGAGACTTTCTTTCCAGTTTTGACATAATGGCTCAAATTTAGTGCAATTTCCTTAAAGTGGGTTTGCTAATTTTTCTTGCTTTTTCTTGGAGATTTTCTTGTTATAGCTGTACATGTGAAACATAATATATATGCATAGAATTGGAACAATGGTGGTGACACAAAATATCAGTAACATAACCAAATTAGTGTAAGCATATAGACTTATGGAATGAACTTGAAACAGATTCTGTGACACTGATAAAGATTTTAGAATATTTTAGCTTCTTTTTATATTAGATAATTGATATCACATTAGACATACTGGTGATGAATTTCTCTTTCTAATTAATTACTCATCCACCTAAATAACTGTGCAGTCTCTCTCTTTTCTTTGTGAAGATCCGCTGCTTTTTGGAAGCATGCTGTTTATTTCTGAACAATCATTTTCACTTCCATAGTTAATTATAAAACTCCTAATCAATATTAAAGGGACCTTATTTGTTTACTCTCAGCAGTTCTCATTTTACATGTTTGTGGAGGAAAGCACGTTTGATGCATACTTTTCATAGGCTGAGTAATATGTGATAAATTTAAAAACATGAAAAAGGCGTAGTAGAGAATTCTTCCCGCTTAGACTCATCCCAATAATTTTGCAGTTCAAGCCAAATACTTTCATGAGCAGCAAAAATTGTGAAATTTGGTTTTCTGCAGCACTGTGCCTTGTGTTTCCTTTGGGTTTAGCATTAGGGTTGAGCATGTACTCTGCCGTCTTCTTCAGGAGGAGCTCTGATTTGGATTTCATCCCTTTACCATGTTACCATTTTTGTAACGTTTGTAAAACTAAACAGTTTTGAGACTAACAACTTTCTTTCATATTTGGATTGAAATCAGACCACAAAATTAACAGTTACTGCAGTGGTCTAAGCAGATCCATATGACCACAAAGGCTTTCTTCAGTTAGAACACAAGCTAAAAAGTAGTGTTTTATAGTTCATATAAACTTAAAGGTGTAAATAGCTACAAGTATTCTGACTAAAATTTGATGATGCTGTTACTGGGAAAAAAAATTATAAAAACTTCAGTGTTAAAATGTAAAGTTAATTACATAAAGTTCTTTTCATCACATATTGTGCTTATCTCTGACATCATAAATATCGATGCAGGCTTGGTCAGATGTGGTTGGTGCTTTCCAGATGAATTGTGTATTTCTCAACATTTTCCTTGTGATCATTGATGGTACAAAAACCTACATTTCAGTTTAAGAATATCAATTTCAGTGACAGTGTTGTAATTCAGAACTTTTAAATAATTTCTTTGTATTTTTTCAATGTGTTTGCTACTCTAGCTTCATTGGAGAAGAATCTGTTGCAGCTGGAGAGGGCAGCATTTTGACAGATAACCCCACATGGATTATAGACCCTATTGATGGAACTACCAACTTCGTACACAGGTCCACCTTTCTTTTTTTTATGTTAATAACTTAATCTGATTACCTTTTTTCTTTCTCCAGTTCCATGAAAGTAAGTTTTTTTTCACTTTTAAATTGCATTCAAAGAGATACTATGAACTTGTTAATAGTTACAATTTCTTATTTGCATTTATTGAGAGCCTTTGGGCAGGTTTTATATTCATTTTAATATTTTTGTAAGTGTTACAATAGTCTTACTCTGTAACCAACAGCAGTTGTTCCCTGAGGGGCCCTTACTGTATAGCAGGAGTCAGCAGCCTTTGGCACAGGTGCCAAACATAGGTGGGCAGATTTTACCAGTAACGCAACAGGACTCAGAATTAGGAGTTGCAGCATCTTCATGAGGCAGTTGCACCTCCAAGTGCTGACGTCTAAGAAATTTCAAATTCACTGAGATCTAGGAGCTGCTTCTGTGAAAGCAAGCAAAATATTACCAGTGATTGTCTAGAAGTATTTTGTACCAGGGTGAGCAGGGGACTTTCAGTGTAATGCTGACTGCCTATTCGTTCTGTCTTTGAAATGTGACAGATTTTGGCCTTGATGAGTTTTTCTGAGTGTACTTGATTCCGATTTTGAAATGACTGCTGCTATGTGCACCATGGCTTTGAACAGCTGCTGTATCCTGCTAAATAACATGTTGAAAAAGCTGTAAGAAAAAAACCCATTCTGCTGGATATAAAGACTTAAAAGTCTGTATTTTTTGCAGACAGTAATTAAAGCAAATGTTTTGGAACTGCAAATTTTGAAGAGTAAAAAATAATTTAAAAAATTAATTGGTCGCTCATTAAAAACTTAGACTGAGATGCAGCCCACCATGTCCTATATACTCCCACTGCATTCACTCTTCCCCCTGTGTTCTTCCTTCTCACTTCAATATCTGTCTTTCTCATTGCTTTGGTGGAGAAAGTGGAGGTGGGGGGAGAGGTGACTTTCTTCTTTTGGCGAGACCGTTTTGGTCAGCATATTCGTCCTGAGAAAGGTCAGTAGCATAGAGGCTTGCTTGTGTTCTTTGACTATGAAATGACAGTCAGTAAGCTAGTAACCGCTGTAACAGGGATGACAGTCCCTAAGCTGCAACAGGCTTAGTTCCAGTGGGTGGAGAAGTTTGCATTTTAAGTGGTAATTGGTGTTCTTGGGTCTATTTTCATAGTAAATTATGCAAGTTACAGAAAACTAAGATTTTCTCTAGTCCAAGTTTCTTTTTGAAATATGCATTACATTTAACTGCACATTGTTTTTATTAAGAGTAAGCGTGGTAATGAAAGAAGCATAGTATCTCACTATAAATTAGTGAAATGTTTTGTTTTGTAGGTTTCCATTTGTGGCAGTTTCAATTGGCTTTGTTGTAAACAAAAAGGTATACTTTTTATTACTTTAATCAATCAAAACCAAATTAATGCTTTTTTGCTAGTTATAACTAAGATCTGTATTTTCACAGTAAATAGGTAGAAAAGGAAAAAAACCTCAAGGTATCTTTACTTTTTCTTGCAGATAGAGTTTGGAATTGTGTATAGTTGTATAGAAGACAAGATGTATACTGCCAGAAAAGGAAAAGGTGCATTTTGCAATGGTCAAAAACTTAAGGTATCAGGCCAAGAAGGTAAGCTGAACTGAGTAGCTTATTCCTAGTAATTACATTTATTTTGCAAATGAGGCATCAACGGTTTTATACCTGGATATATTCCTGTTTTTTAGCTCATAGTTTTGTGTTACAAAGACAAGGTTTTTTTGGCCGTGGTTTGTTCAGTTTTGAGAAACAGTTTTTATGTTCTCTTTGATGCGTATAACATGCTTGTAATCTTTGCAAAATCAGGACTCAGCAACTGAAGATTTCATTCCCTGTATGTTGTGGTTAGTTGGTTTTTTTTAATTCCCTGTATGTCTGTAATCCATCTGTGATTGTTCTTTAAAGTCTGTAATAAATATACCAAACAAATCAATTTCTTCCAGGTGTGAACTAGTGGTTTAAATCAGCATCAGTGTTATATACTTACTGCCCTACATAAAGTAAAATCCACACTTAAAGTGGGACCTTTAAAGATCTGAGAACTGTTCTCATTTTTATAGCAATAGAATTTTATTTACCAATGACATCGATTAATGTATATGTACAGCTGAACCAGATTGTGTTTTGTTTGTTGTATTTTATTTTTTCCTGCTGTTTTCATCTAAGAGCAAGTTTTTATACATTCAATATATGTAATATTTTTATTAAAATACCTTACTTTATTCAGTCTTATAAGAAAGCAATGATGTAAACTCTGCTAATTACTGTTATTATATAAGTTGTACTGTTGGAAAAATGAGGGTTTTTTCTTTTCCAGACATTACAAAATCCCTTTTAGTAACAGAATTGGGATCAAATCGTGATCCAGAGACTATAAAAATAATTCTTTCTAACATGGAAAGACTTCTCAGTATTCCTATTCACGGGTAAGATACTTCATAATTTTTATATTTGCTGGTAGTGTTTATATTGTAAATATGTGAATATGGTTGTTTTCAGGAAGGTTTGGTTGCATTACATTTGACACCTTAAATATGAAATGTGATTTAAATGTTTTTGTCTAGTAGCTTTTGCAGAGAAACTCTTAAGTGTGTTTATTTCAAGCTGCGATATACGTAAGAAGACCCAAGTAACCAGTATTGAGAGGCAAAGCATGTTTGCTCTTGTAGGACTAAAATGCATTGTATTTACTAGTTAAAAAAATGAAATACAGTTTTGTGCCTTTTTTTTTTCCAGAAACACACAAGGAGTGAAACAGGATAAACAGAAACTATATTACATTTCTTAGTTTCCTTTCCGTGTAGTAATGAAAATCATTGTATTTTTTCTATATATATAAGAAGACAAAAGTAGATCTCCCTTTCCTCTTTCAGCATCGTAAATTTTCTTTTTAATTCGTCCAAGTAGTTGAAATTGTCCCTAAACTGCTCTTATTTTGGTTACATTCCCTCCTTCCAATGCCTACGTTTCCACAAACCATTTTATGTCTAAAAGTGGTTTCAGTACACAGTTTTTTGTTACTCAACGCTCCTTATGCTTCTGATCTAAAAGGGTTTATAGTTTTATGCTGAGATTCTCAGGATTCTTGTTTTGACGCTTAACGTAGATTTTTTTCTAAAAGTCTTCTGATGTCATTAAAAATATATGCTAAATTGTAGAGTAGGGAATGCATTGTAGGTATGTTGTCAGTTCAACTTTGGTATTTTATTTGTAAACAATACATTGAGATTGGAGTTGATTCAAATTGCTTCTTGCAGTAACTTAGCTGATATCAGTTACAATTTAATGTACATTTTACTGATAATTGAAATAACTGCAGTTATTTGTACAAATCACAGTTACTTAGTGCATCAACATTTCCGAAAGAAACTGGAATTTGTAACACAACAGTTTTGATGAAGTTATCCAGGCCAGATTTCTGCTGTGTAATTTCTTTTTTGTGATTACTGCTGTTAGTTTTTTTTTCAAGATGCTTACTGAGCATCACCAGAGAAACTGAAGTAACTGTTTTTTGAATGCTAAGAACAGTGTACACTCTACTTGAATCCTTGTATTCAAAAATCAAAGTAGAATATCTGTTGTTATTTCATGGGTAGATATCTTCCATAATATGTTTTAGGTTAAGAAGTTGTTTAAGATGTGTTTCCACTCTAAAACAAAATTGTTTAACAGAATTCATAAATGTAATTTCTGGAAATCTGCTACATTTGGGGACTTCTTCAAGCTACTTAACCAAAACTTCATTCCCAATTTTTTATTTGTTTCACTACAGCATTCCATCATATTTTCTCTAGCTCAGTTCACTTTGCGTGTGATGCTTCTTTGTTCTCTGTGCAGTGTACACAGACATTGTGTCTTTCTTACAAACTGTTCTCAATTGAAAAAACAACTGTCTCCTTTAGGATTAGAGCCGTTGGTACAGCAGCTGTGAACATGTGCCTTGTGGCAACGGGTGGAGCTGATGCCTATTATGAAATGGGGATTCACTGCTGGGATATGGCAGGGGCTGGAATCATTATTACTGAAGCAGGCGGAGTACTGCTTGATGTATCAGGTAAATACACAGGCATGCTCTTTTGTCCTTTTACATAGCTAAATGAGAGCAAAATATAGCTGAAATGAGAAGGCAAAAAGGTTTTTCAATCCTCTTTCCAAGTTACCACTACTGAACAGAGTTCCCATCCAGTTAATAGAGTCAATTCTATGTTTTTAAGCTACAAGACAACTTTTACTCCCTTAGCTGAGCACCTGGAAGAGTGAAAAAAGACAGTAAACAAACACTGAAAAGAATTTAAATGTAGCTCACATACCTGTTGTGTTAAATGCATTTTTATCCAGGGCCAAACTTGGTCCTAAATAGTAATACAGCATTTACACTTGATTTTTTTTCAATGCTCATTTTCTTACCTTTTAATTTTCTCAATATATAAGCTGGTTACTTTGCTTGCTTTGATTTCCAGGTGGACCATTTGATTTGATGTCTCGAAGAATAATTGCAGCAAGTAGTCGAGCTATAGGAGAGAGAATAGCCAAAGCACTTCAAATAATCCCTCTGAAAAGGGATGATGCAACTAACTGAATGCCAAAACTACACCTTCAATGTAATTATATAATGTTGTCTTATACTCCCATGTGGTGGTTCTTCTACACCTTGAACCTGATTGAAGGATACATAAATAGATGGTAGTCTTTCAGTACCAGTGTGACTGCTAAGTAGTGTTTTGAGATTGGACCAACATTCTAAGTAAGCTTTTACTGTTAAGTACTTTATTTAACATCACAATTACATAAAGATCCATAGAAAGAAGCAAATATATACAACTAATATTTTCAAGTTTTATACTACACTGGAAGGCATAGCAAGACACTCTGATGTATAGATAAGTAAAAATCTCTAGTTCTGTAAGTGACAAAACAAAATTCAGTGTCTTAACACCACATCATCACATCTGATCCTGAACCCCAAAAGATGAAGGCATTACGGTTTATCCAGTCTTTCTCTATCCTGTCTGTTGTTTTCTTCAGTGTCATCAGTGTATCCATTTCCTTACCTTGTTACAGTTTTTGTAGAGGTAGTTCACGCATTTCCAAACATTTTTTAGTTGCTTGTAGTTTTGGCTCCACTTTAAAGCCTTTATTACTTAGCTGTCGTTGTTTTTTGTAGTCATCACTTTACCTTTCTTACGGTAGATAAACACATTTTCTTTAGCCTCTTTTGTGGCCAGTACGCTTGCAAATTCATTACAGTTGCAAAAATAATAGTTATTGTGCCAGAAAATATGTGCATCTCCCAGAAATAAGTTCTGAGCACAACTTCTATCACCAAATGGACTTACTCTAAATTAAGATGAAGTATGATTTGTATTTGACCATTGGAATCAGCTGATACTAGGTCCTCTGTCTTTTTCTTGGCAGTTGTAATTCCTGTTAATTTTGCTTAGGTTTCTCCATGGTTGAGTGTGTTTCAAAGTTTAGGGAATTATAAAAATCCAAGAGAGTTTTCAGCAACTCAGCTGGCAAAAAAATAAGCCCGTAGTCCAGATTTTTTACATGATTTTCTGTAAGTTATGAAAGCAGTGACCAACCAGGATCAGGTTTCCATTGTTATAGAGTGTACAGGCACAAAAGAAGATACATATCTAAACCTAAAGGGTTTATACATTTAAGTATATTTAGTAATTTCATTCTTGGTGTCAGTTGTTGTAAACTTTGAAAACTATACTGGTTCTTTGGATTTTTATATTGAAGATTGTTAAAAGTATCAGTGTACTGTTCAAATAATTAATGCACTTTAAAAAGACGATTTTAACTTAGATCAGTTTTTAGACTGATTTTTTTTTTTTTTTCTGTGTCTAAAGTTTCCTAAAGAAAGTTGTTTCATTGGTGGTCCAGTCAAGACACAGCAATGCTCTGGAAAACCTGACTTTTCGTACTGCTGTCCCACTATTTTTATTTTGGAAAATAATATTCTCTGTCTTGAAGTTTCAACAGATCTCTTGTTATAAATTTCAGTCTTTTGTATCGGTTGATTTTTGCAGATTTTCCAGAAATACTTGATTTGAAGTTGTATCTAATGTCAGATGATTAACGTTAATGAGATTTGAAGGTCTTGTCAAAAAGCCAGACTTACATTAATTTTACTTTTTAAATTCCCGTTGACAAGGATAGAAACTTTTTGGGCATTTCACTGTAACTGATGTGGGATCACCAGTATTACTTGAGAAGTATGTCTACTGTACAATTTGGGGCTTTGAGTAACCTCGTCTAGTGGAAGGTGTCCCTGCCTATGGCAGTGGGGTTGGAACTAGATGATCTTTAAGATCCCTTTCAGCCAAGCCATTCTGTGATTTTGTGATGATTTCTGTGGCTTTTAGATAACAAAATCTCTGTAACTTTTTTTAACTGATTTATTTGTGAAATGGAGACATGTCTAAAAAATGCTTGAGATGGGAGAACACATTCGAAATAAACATGCTTTAGCAGTGGTGGCTTCAGATGTGCTTCCTTTCTCAATATTCATCTGAGTGCAATGCTGGGTCCCAACAAGCTGGATTTGTGGGTTTCAAACTTTCTCTGAGTGAATTGAACACTTTCTCTTCTTGGTCTGTGATGTACATAATCATAAACTGTCGTGCCTTTAGGTAAGTGGGATTATGTATACACCTACAGTAGGTTTTTAGAGTGAATATTCCAACACCTTCCAGTGAGATCATGGTGCATTAAACATTTCCAGCCTCAGAGCTCAAACTTTATGGACTGTCTTGCCTGGAACTTGTTTTGGAGGCCCATCAGCTGGTTGAAGCATGTAACTTTCTCACTGTTAGCTTTCCCAATAATGCTCTTTGAGGAAAAATTTATATGAATTTCCCATCTTGGCCCTCTCATTCTATTTGCGTTGGAGACCAGCCTAATTTTTTTTTACTCTATAAATGGCAGCTTTTATCAATTGTTTTCTTTTTAATTTCAGTCTCCCTTTCAGGGGAATCAGAAATCCCTCTTGTTTGCTACTTTGCTAAGTATTATCTTCTCAGATAACTCTTCATCTAATATGTGCCCACTTCTTTTGGCATGTGAAAGGACACTGAAATGTAATTGTTAAGTTTAAAGGCTTTTTTTTTTTTAGTTCTATGCTAGCCTGCAATTTTGGCAAATTTTTTTAGTAAGTGTTTTTTGTAGTAAAACAGAGAAGTCGTGATTGTTGGGAAATCAAAATGCTTTTGAGAGATTATAAATGAGAAGTAGTCTCTGAGTGTTCCAAACAGTAAAACACCTGGGTTTGTTGCTTTGAAAGATGGAGTGACAGAGATAATAATCTTGGATTTTTTAATAATTTAAGATAAAATTATATATTTACAAGATAGGAATTGCTGGGCAATGAGACAATGGGAAAGGATTGATCAATCAGCTACCACAGATTGAACAGACAGACTGTCAAATTAAGATCATGAATATTCCTCATGAAGACATCAACAGTCCAGTATGCATAGAGGTGTGTATATCTATATATATATCTCCATAGCTTTGAAATGAACAACTCATGACTTCAGCTGTCAAATTCTACTATGGTTTGGATCTCAACTCTGAGTGAAGAACACTCAAAACTTACAAGTGCAATAAGAAGATCAGGCAGACAGATTCAGCAACTGGAGTAAGTGAAAAATTCTAAGAAATACTCGTGGAAATTAAAGGACCATATGGGCAAATTTAACCAGTTCCTTCACCTTTACTTTGACTTAATGGTCAATATCATCACTAAGGTTGCTACGGAGCCCACTGCTATTCTTAACAAAGGTCTTCAGAATAGGGGTACTGATTTTTAGCCCGAGACTAAAATGATTAGTACTACAAAATAAGTAGTACTGATTTTTAGTACTGATATGTATGAAAAAGGAGAGGCACCTTAGCCTACGATCCTGGCTATCACCCCTGTTCACTAACCCTCTCCATTTATTGCTTTGCTGATAGTTTGTGATTGTTTTCTACAACAATTTGCAAAGCTTTGCTCCTCCTTCAAAGCAGGGTGTTGGAGTAGATTCATTCCTTCAGAGCTTTTCCCAACATGAAATATTGCCAAAGACAAAGTCATAAAAGGCTTCAGGCTCTTATCCAGCCCCGTTAAGCACCCCTGCAGAAAATCTCTCCCCTTCTACCCCTCCCCCCATTAAATACGGACATTCATCATAATATCTGTGACCGAAAGCTATGGTTTTAATTCTGCATAGTCTAATGCCTAGGTGTGAACCAGACATTCTGATTAGATACAAGCTGTCAAGCTTTCACCTCAGTATGAAGCAATTTAAATGAGATCTCTTTCTTTTCCTGAGCTCCTTCCCATCCTCTCAAAGCCAGCTGCTAATTCAGCTCTATTCATTACCTGTGAGTGAAGTAATTGCTTCACAAGTCTGATCCTGTTGCTAAAGTGCTGACAGGCAACTTTCCAACAGCACATTGTTTTTTGATCTAGAGCAGCTGGCATGGCTTCCTTTGTTTGCACAAACTCCAGGCATCAGAAGGATATTGTCAGTGATGTGACACCTCAAGAGTCTCCGGCAGGAGTCAGTTGGCCAGATCTCTTGGACAACATAATCCATTTGATCTCTGGGTTACTGCTTGTCCTGCACCAAAAGTGACAGTGAATGTAGTCTGTCACATCACTTTTCAGTTTGTACAATATTCACACAGAGGTCCACAGCTTCTCAAAGATCAGCAAGAGTTTCTGAAATGTCCTCTGTGCCCACTATCAGCTGTCTGCCTGCTGCAACAACGGGACAAGCAAAACCTGCCACACTTCAAAGCCCCATGCAACATCCAGAACAAACAAACTGGAAGAGTGTGCTCAGCTGAGAGTACATCGTGCCACTGCATTAAAGAGCTACAAACTCTTCCCTGTTTGAGGAGGATGGATTAGATCTCCCACAGTAGAGCAGAAGTAATTTCCTAGTATAATTCAAAGCTAGTAAGATACTAAAAATAATGGTGTGTGTACATCCTGTTCCAGAAGCTTATAGCCTGTGTTGATGGCTGCTGCATTAGCTTGAGTTTGTATGTCGTGTGTCATACCTCCTCTTGATTTGCACAGCTGCAGTGGTGATTTTTACCCTGAGATGATTCTCCCTACCCCAATGTTGCTTTAGGTAGGAATCAGGCCTTCTGTACGCCTATTTAAATGAAAGGAAAAGAAGCTCAAAATACAACAGCGACTACTGTACCACCACAGTAGGGAAGAACCAAAGCCTACCCTCTTGTTAACGCAGTGGAAGATCAAGCTTTGTGTTTTTTTATGTCTGTCCTTAGCTCAGTCGAGATCACACTTAAAACCATGTAAAGCAGTTAATTCAGAGGAAGTGATGCTACCTCGAATGCTTGAGAACTAATTTGAGCTCTTCCTAACTTGCTGTGCTAAATTTTCCTCCTCTGCTGTCGCCTGGAGAGGTGGCTCTCTACCCTTTATCCTGCCTGTGTACACAGGCGGAGTTTGGTGTCCAAGATTCTCGCAAACCCAAAATAAGCCGTGCGCCTCACTGTGCCTGACAGAACACTAGATGGCAGCCGGAGCCAGGAAAACACCAAAAGGCCCAG